ATACCAAGGTGTAGAGAGATGAGGATAGATAGTTTTCGCTATATGAGATGTAAGCACTCTATTGCATCGAGTGATGGTAGTAATCGAACGTCAGAGAAAAAACTTAACTTTTCTCTGCAAAGCAGCGCAAAATCCAACGGAAACGTCAGATCTCCTCATATGATTGTGGAAAAATTCAACTACCAGTCCTACATCACCTTAAATGAAGTAGGATGAATAGATTTCATGTAACGGTAGATAGCATGGCGCCACTTTCTCGTACGGCTTGATTGTGAAGTTTGTGGGAATATCTCGAAGATGTCCTCAAAAGCCCATTTTTTGTCAAGTCGTGTATGTGCAGGGCTGCATGTGTGCATGTGTGCGTGTGTATCTGTATGCTTTCAACGGAGTCGTTGAAAGACTGTCAATCAAGAAGTACTTTAAATTCAAAGTTTTTGTCAAATTATGCGACCAAGAACGTAAAATATATGACAATTATCCGATTTTTATTGCAAAATACAGGCTTGAATATCGATAATCCACCATAAATGTGGAATTCGAGAGACCCATAGTAAATAAAACTTTACTCAAGATTGACAGATGGACTCGTAAACTGTTTAATAAGAATATCATTAGTGTATTTTATTGTTATGAAAAAACAAGAATTTGCCTTTTATATAATACCACCATTAATGGGATAGCTCTCTTAATCAATATTGGTTAGTGGTTTTGAAATCTACTTATTATGAATATGAGTAGCGTAGTCTATTTCAATGGTAAAAGAAGAATTTGCTTCATTTACCGTTGCACTATTAAATTGATTTACGTCTGCCCACATGCTCGATTTCCTGCCCACATGTCCGTCGAGTCTTAATTTCGCCTAATTTGCCTGTTGATTTGTTCTCTTTCAACTACGAAGCGTCCATGTGCCTTGCCACCCTTTTGACGGCTTGCATCGTTCGTCTTTTGGCCTCTCTTCCAAACATTTTTCATCGCCACCCCATCACATCCTCTTCACATTCAAAGTTTTTGTCAAATTATGCGACCAAGAACGTAAAATATATGACAATTATCCGATTTTTATT